TTTCAAGGCATAGTGCCATAAATCATCATTACATTCTGGAAAGGTCTGTCCTTCGTCTGTTCGTTATATTCTGTAGCAAACATGAAGGTCAGCTTTAGCTTTCTAACACAGGATTCATTTCCCAAGCTAAGCTGAGGAATGGTGAGTCTTATAAGGCACTTTTCTTTTATCTACTTAGGTTTCTGACCTTCACGTCTCAGTACGGCTATCTCCCCCGGTGATATTGTTTGCCATGTCGGCTGTGCTGTGGAGACACTATGCAAACTTATATAGCTAACCTGTTCACCCCAACACTGGCTGTCAGCGCGTGTCAATGATCGCCTAGCTGGTATGGCTCAGACGCAGGTATGCACTGGCCATCCGGCAGCTGTCAGTGTCACACAAAGCCATCAATCCACATCTCTGCCACTGTCATTGCTGACAGGGCATCGCCGGCCACAGACAGCTGCATAGAAATATGCCAATTTAGCTTAGCATGCCCAACTAATAGACACTTGAATTAAAGTGCTACAAAAGTTACTCGCAATTTTTTTCAGGGAAATGCACCAACAGGACTACACTATGATGAGGCAATACTAACTATAAATTAAAAACAAGTGATCCATCAGCCAATTAGATTACAAAAGGTGAACAATATATTTTGTGTATGTGGGGTCTTCAATGTGTATTATCTGACAAATGCTACATGTGAATCTTCTTGATTGTGTGGCTATATATACATAACATTGATCGTACTGTACTGACACTGCAGTCAAAGCCTACACTAACTTGGTTTGCATGTATTTAGTAAAGTCAATGCCTTTTTCTTTTATAGGGAAGCCCACTTTTATTTATGTAAACAAACACTTGCTCATCTTGTGTGAAAGGTTGACAAGGAGGGTGCATAAATAGAAGCTGCAGGCCCATCATTGTCAACATGCCAACCGCTCTCTGCAGAGAATCACAGAGACCTCCTTCTAGCAGGCCTTGCTGAACGGGAAATATGCCCAGACGACAATCACTTGCTAAAAAAAGGTTTTTGGAGAAGGAAGGAGGATGCAACTGCAACTGAAACAAATGATTTAAATCAAAATAAAACCCAATGTATTGATTCAGTTAAAATGACAAGGAACCATTCACTGCCAGCTGGTTCTTAAATTATTTGACATTTTGTTCAATATTGTTGACTTTCTTGCTTTGCAAAGTTTAACATAATAAGACCCGCGTTTTTAACGGAGTGATTGAGTATGAGGTACACACAGCTTCCAGCTGTTGCGTAAACAAAGACAATCACATTTATGATGATGATGATGATATTGTGTTCAATAGTTTCGTAATATTAACATAAACACTTTGACAGAACCTATTCTTCCACTATAATATTCTCAGAGAACAACCTAATGAACGGTTCTGCATTCTGCTGCTGTCTGCAAGCTGTTGCAAAAATGTATTGACGCAGCTGAGAGGGCTCCAAGTTATATAGAAAACATATATATCACTCTGCGGGGAAAACTTAATCATGAAACTACATTTGTTTTAGGGTGTTAATGGATAATTGTATTTATATTGACATAGTTGTTTCAAAAGTGTTTTTTCCAATCAAGTAAGTGAGGACATACATGTTGTTAAGAACATTATTTCTTCTAATATTACATGAGAGCAGTTCGATTACAATTCATGCATGCAGTGAAGTAAGATAGCGGACATTTGGGGCAACCATAAAGGTTGTTGTAAAACGTGCAGGCTGCTGTACAACCAATATGCTTTTACTCTTGATATTCCTCAGGTTGGCTATAACAATGTTTTGTAGAGGTTCATATGGTGGAGGCTCTAACACCTGCTGCTACAACTATTGACTTACTGAAAACCATACTGTATGAAGCAAGTCTAAGAAAAGTTCACAGTGAACATGTTAAACACAAAGTTATACAATATTCCTCTTGGGTACCTGGGGGAAATGCCTGGCCTGAATAACATGTTGAAATAACTTTTTTTGTCCTGGTGGTTTGTTTATTTCTATGTGCCTTATGCCAAGCTGCATTGAGCTCAAAGCATGTGGGCTTTCCGGCTCTGTTCTAAGCTTAGTGGATTTGACTGGGATACACAGTTGACATGTGGGGGCAGACACTTGCCCCAGATGGGAGCACTGACCCCCGTGATGCCAGCCGAGCAGGCGGCCAGAGGGCCTGCATCTCCTCGCCTTGGAGAAAAAAAAGTCCAGATGCTTTACCATGCTCCGGCTTTTGACACACTGTGCATGCTGCTTGTGACATTATTTCATATGCCGCAGTAAAAGAATAACATTACTTTGGGTTTATTCTACAATGTTTAACAATGATTTCCAGTGAAGTAAAGTGATTGCGTAAATGTGGAACATCTGGTCAGTTCAAGAGAATATGGGAATCCACTTAGAGAAAATTAAAACAAATGGGGTGACCGGGTAATGATTTCATAAGCTATTTCCTACATTAGGATTTCTAATACTTCACAAGGAAAACACGTTTAGCTCGGCACTTGTCTCATCTATCAATCATGCTGGTTGAAGAGGAGCAACATACAGTATACACTCTTCAATGCACTTGCATAGGGTATACAGTATTATCAAGTTGTATCAACTGGGAAATGGCAGGAAAAAAATATGAAAACAAAAAAAATCTGTTTCCTAAAAGCATTTGTCTGCTTCCCCTCCCCCAATCTGGTGTCATCCTGACAGAAACTAAATGAATTAAACTCTCATTAAATATGCATTTCTTTGTTAATCATTTTCAAGCGAAGAGGATTAGGTCGCAATTTGTGAAATGACATCAAATCTATCGCTTCTCAAAAATAGCCTCTTGAAATTGCATTAAACACAATAGTATTATCCATCAAACTGTTTTTAAAGCTCTTTAAGGCATTAAAATAAGTACATCAGTAAATCCATTAAAGAGATATTGACCTGTAAATACTTCTGTTAATACAATGGCAATATGTTTACTCCATCTGTTAATGCAAATGGGTTTGTAAACATAAAGAATGTGCTATATTCAGGTCAGCAGACCTACTTATCTATGCGTGTGTCTGTCTGTCTGCCTGTCTGTCTGAAGACTCAAAGTAATGAGTATGAGACTGGAGATTTATTTCAGAGCATGAATTAGCCTTTCAACCTTACAAATGCAAAATTAATGTGGACATGTTTGGCCATGATTACATAATGGTAAGATGAATTAAAAAAGCCTCTTTGTGCCGAACACTACCTTATTTTCATCAACCTTCACAGAAAACACGGCTGATGCTCGGCATGAAATATTGACGTGAAAGGGCTCCTCAAATAACCAACTCAAAAATATCTGAAGCACACATTGAATATTAGAACAGAATGAGAGAAAAGAGCCCAGACTCTCAAGCCAAGGCTGTCAACTGGAGAGGAGTAGAGGCAGAGAAAAGAAAAATGTGCAACAGGAAAACACTGCATATCGTGCTATACAGTATGTGTTGATAAACAGCTTGAAGAGAAACTGAGAGAGAACACAAGAGCTGCTGTAACCTCCAACCTGCTTCTGGCTCAGATTTCCATTCACATAATCCATTTCAAAAGCTTGATTGTCCTTTCTCTGATTGCTTTGCACATATAAACGAGTTAGTACAAAATGAACTATTCAAGGTTTAATGAAAATGTGTAGTCAGTGCAGGTAAGAACCTTGGAAGGGGGAACAAGCAGCCTCGGTTTAGCATATATTGAATTTGAATGAAAAAAAGTGTGTTTCATAACTGCCAAGGTCATTGTGTTTGCGACAGTCCAACGAGCTAGGTGTTGGTGTGGAGGACAATCCCCACTATCTCCAAGGCTGCAGGCAATGTTGCCCATGTCATCCTCATGTTTTATTCATGAAAGTCATATTATGGCATTCAGAAACTGAGATCAAGATTTGCTCTGGCAGAAATATTTAATATCATACCTACTTCTCTACCCTTCTCCATCTGGTTAGCCAGCATGAGAGAGAGGGGTAGACAGACTCCTCCAGCTCAGCCATGTTGGATTATTAAAAGTGAAGCTTTCAAAGAGGTCACTGCTCAGGGAAAAAAAAAATTATCTTGGAGAGTTTGTGGCATACTGAAGACTGTCTTGTCATATTTCCCAATGTGGCTGAGCTAGAGGGAGGTTCTTGGCTGGCGCTGACATTTAGAAGCTGGTGAATTGTGGAAATCTCAGTCTGTTTGTCAGAAAATGGACAAAATACCACACTGACTACTTGCAAAGCCCCTTCAGGCTTGAAATTCCTTCTCAATGTCATTGGCATAACCAGACACAGGCATCCAGCTCTGTCGCCCTAATTTTTCATGTCGGAACAACGGCAACTTACACTGATCAATAAACAGTTTTACTGGCAGTGCTGAAGGACAATAGAGTAATTCAAATGATTCACAACCATAAATATAGCACGCTGCCCGCAAATAGTCACAGACTGGAGGAATGATCTTTTTTCTGTCGTGTTGCTTGTACATCACCAGTGATAAATAACAACAGGATGATGGTGTTCTAGAGCCTTTTAGAGCCTCTGTTAGAAGTCAACCACAGCTTGCCGTCTTTATGTGTGATCTACATATTGCGTGCCACAATTGCAAAATATATAAGGGTCCAAACTCTTTGTAATTATAAATGTCTACCTTTCAAAACTGTTACTAATACTGAATTATAACACTCTTTCTTTACATGTGTTATCCATTTGGATATATATGTGCATCTTACTGCAGAGAAGAATGTGTTCTTTCTATGTGACCATGGAACAAAACAAGCTAAAAGTAGCATAATCTGTCTATTGTTTGTAAGCATTGCTATGGGAGTAAGTATAAGGAATCTTCACAGCTGCAAAAGACGACTCCCCCCACTCCTACACATTATTCTCTTCCTTCAGAGTTCAAATCTGTGTGAAGCACAATTCCATGAAACCCCCTCTTCTATCCTCCTGTTCTCCTCGTCCTAACTCCCCACCTGCCTCCCCGTCTCTGCCTCTGTGGTGGCGCGGGGAGAATTGGCATACCTTTGTTCATGTCAATCAGCTGCTTCTTCTTGTGCTGGCGCTCCTGCTTCTCCCGCTCTGCTTTCTCCTTCGCCAGCTTGGCTCTCTTGATCTTCTCCTCCATCTCCTTCTTCTTGTGGTTCTCCTTCATTGCTTCCTGATAACACACACACAGCCATATATATCAGCTTCTTGCCTCTGCTACCATCAGTTTATTTGTGTTTTTGTTACTGTGTGTATAGTGTTCAAACCAGCAGCATCTCATCAGCAGTATTTCTTTTTTCTTTCTAGTCTGAGATAAGCTTCTGGAATAAACAACATATCATGCCTTGTGTCTGGGCTTTTTAATATGAGTGTATTTGTCTGCAAGCCTTGTGCACTACTTTACATAGTTCCAATCACTCACAGGGCATTTTTGTTGTCAATAAAACATCAAAATATGCTTCTAAAAAAAGCAAGATGATAATCACACATATGTAGCATGCTGGAATGGGATACACGGAATATTTCCTTTGACAATATTGAGGAGAAAAGAAAAGTGCAGCAGCAATGTGCCAGTCTCTGAGGATGGAGACAGAGATATCACCTTCCTCCTCCTCATCCTTCGTGACCGGCCAAAATGTCAGGAAGGAGTCAGAGACAGAGAGATAATCAACGCTACGGATTCAGCCTTTAAAAATGTGTCAGTTTGTTTTTGTGCCAACAGAGAGTAAGATGGTACCATGTGACCTTTGCGGACAACACAATGTTCTCTCATCCCAGGCCTCTAGCAGAGCCTTTGACAGGACCCATCATAGGTACTGGTGTTTGTGTATAAACGTGTCATACTGTATCCGTATGCATGCAAATCCACTGTGTGCCTATCCTGTCCATTGGGATCTCAGTGATTCTGCTCATATGTGGTGCTCCATCTAATGTATGCATATGTGTAAGTGTGTGTGTCAGTAAGTGAAGGCATGGCCCTGTCGTTGCACTGATATAATAAGTGGCGACAGTACGCCCCCCCCCATCTAATGCCCCTGTGGTCCTGATGTGTGTGTCGTGTTGGCAGCTAAGACAGAGGGATTACAGGGATTGTGGGGAAGGAACGAGGAAAGAGCAGCTCATGATGCTAGTCAATAGCAGAGCTTTGCTCCTTGTCCAAGGACACGAGCCCTCATTGTCACTGTCTCCTTGTTGGATGACAAGGGCAATGACAGAGAGAGGGAGAGAGAGAGAGTGAGTGTGCTTTTGTATTATGTGCATTATACAAAAATAAGATGTTTTGCTTTGTCAGCTGCTTCCAAGTCGATGAACACTCAAAAATCAACCTACATTTTATCACTTCATCGCGGCTGTGTAAATGATACAGTCACGCTCTATAAGGGCTATTGACTGTGTGCACTTAGCTGCTGTTTTGAATTAGAGAGGATGATGGAGAGATGTGCTGCATATTCAGTAATGCAACAGTTAACAAGTGCATTCTGTTTAAGTGATGGGCAGCACTGCCAGCACAAATCAAATATATTTCTGTCTTCATTCGCTGACAGGACAATTCATTTTTGAAGAAATATCACAGCATAAATCAACATGTACAGCATAAATTGGCAGATAAATTATGCAGATTACAAATAAAATCCTGCCGGCAAAACTTATTTTAAACAAACAACTAATTCTGACTGTAAACATGATTATGCAATGCAATTATGTTCCTCTAATCACACAGCACCACTAATTGCCATAGTAACAAATATGTTTTCACAGATTTGTTCCCTCCACCATTCTCTTTGACGGCCTCCATTTTGCCGCTGGCAACAACTGATTCTATCAGGTCTCATTTTCTTGTAGACTCTGTATATTGTAGGAGGATAAACAATGCTCATGGGATGTGTGAGAACACTCTTCAGAGCAACCTGTTTCAAAACCACATCGGAATGAAGTAAACACATATGGTTCGTCACAAATCTGCTCAAATATTCTACATGAATGTTGACAAATATATTTAGAAGAAAATCCATGCAATTTGATTGTGTCTTGGTGTGCTTTTATCTACTCAAGATCAAAGAACAATACTTATACAAAATACAATATGATTTCAGGTGACCATGGAAACAAGTTATTTTTAGCTTTAACAATGAGTCATCCGTCCCCCTTTGAAGATAATCACCACAGTTATAGTGCCAACCAATAAGACATATTTTTTCAAATGCAAACACTCTACAACATAAGATCTTTGAATTGAGGTAAACAGTATATACGTGCATACAACACAATCATCCCACTGATACCTGGGTCTAAATAATATTGCCAGTATGAAAAAAAAGAGAAAAATTCCTTGGTGTGTGTGAGCTAAACCTCTATTAACGCTGATAGCTCTGTAAGCACTGCATCTGTGGCCATTTCTTTATAGCCACTTCAATATTCGCTTGTGGCTCTGAATATCGCATGTAGCTCCTTTAACACCAGGTGGGGTTGTCAACAACACTATAGAGGCAGCACTTTCAGCCTATATGAGCCGGAAAACCTGTCCATCTTATACACACCCGAGTGTGTGAATGTGTGACATACACTCTCTTCCTCTTAGGGCCTCTGGTGTGTTTCAGATGCACATTATGAATGCTGCTCTGTCTAGAACTGGCGTGAAAACTGAATGCTCTGCAACCCACAGGTCCAATCTGAAGCATTTTCCCTTTGCAGGTCTGTTCTTTCAATAATTCATGAAATGTGTTTTTTGTTCTTCCTTGACCCTGCACAACACAATACATCCCCCACAGCATGGCTCCCCTCCATGCATACAAGTTTGCCAGTCTAATGATGGAGCAATGAGTATTTCCAACTGCTCAGTTGCACCAGTGATCTCACACAGAGAGTGTCACTGCTATATCTCATTTGAATTTTACTAACACTACAGCGCCGGGCTTTAGGCAGCAAATGTGTTTATTAGCCATCTGTTACACTGTGTGCCAGGATGTGAGGGGAAATGGCTTCAAGAAGTTATGGGTTACAGATTGTGAGACTTCTGCTCTGCGGTATAGATGTATTCCCATATTGATAGCTGACCTCCAAAATCTGCTGCGATGATTTGTGAGTGCTTGTATAGTTGAAAAGAAAAGAGGAAAACTGACAGTGATTCAGCAAGAAGGTGGGCCGAGTGGCTCTGCTGGAGCATCATCTTCAGCATGATTATGATAATTGGTCATATTGTGAAGGAATTAGCAAGCTTTAGAAATATGAAATGGGCTCCGAAGTGGACGGATACACCCGCACACAGAAACAAATTATCATTCTAATCTCATACAGTAGATGCTCTATCTTGCTTCTTTGGGAAGCCGGTCTGGGTCTTTTTGGTCTTATTAGAAAGACACTCAATCAACAAGTAAGAATGTTAGCTCATCCCAGTCCATCTGCTGTGCTTTCATAACTCATTAATGGAATCCTCACCCCCCCTGCTCCTGGTCAGGATTACACATACAGACCCTACGATTGCATTTCACTCAGACTCTATTTCAGAATATGGCAGCAGCATTAAATTAGCAAATTGTTGGACACTTCCAATACTGACTCCATGTGCTGAAATCACATAATATTTCATTGGTCGCAGAAAAAAAAAGAGAATTGGACAGGATTGAGGGAGAGTAAGAGAATGAAACAGAAGGAAAGTAGAGTTAATGGAATCTCTTATCAGTTACATTAAGTTCTGTGAGGACTGTCTGTCAATGCGTTTACTCAAATGCCTCATGTCGGTCGGGTGCATTAAGCCTTAGCTTTTTAGTAAAAGCAATTTAGGGTGACTGTATAGCAATGGAATTCTTTAATACTGTAGATGCTTTGTGCTGTGAATGCATTACACAGGGCAATGCAACAAAGACAGCAGTTAGCAAATATGTTCTGTCTGAGTCAAACAACTCAATGTCTCAATATTGAAATGAAAGTCGGAGGCACACCAGGCATATCAAGAAGTTAAATTCAGTGCTCTTAAATTATTAGCTGCCAAGAAGTCAAAGTGTTATTAGATGTGCCATTTGCAACAAATCAGTACTGATTGATGTAGGTCGACTTTGTCAAAGATAAATAACTAGCAGATATATCCCTACAATCCCTTTGCTGACAAGAAAAACACAGGAGAATGCTAAAAAATAGCTAGCTTAGTTATTTTCACAGGGTAGGAAAATAATAATAAAAACACATGTTAGTAGACAACCATTGATTCCTTGTGCTCTGCAAGCAGATGGGATTAGCCTTTCTGTCAGCAGAGCTGAGGAGCCAACAACTATAAATAATATCTGAAGAATATGGTGATTAAAGGATTGTTTTTATATGAATACATTAATTTAAAACCATCCCCCTTATTTCAACCACACCACAACACTTTATCCCACTCAGTTCCCTCCCCTTATCCATAGCAGGAAAGTTTAAATCAGTAATAAAATATTCATATGCAGCTATTTGCTTGAGAGAATAATTTATTTTCTTGGGAGGATGCCTCTTTTTGTGCAACTCTGGAATCCTTGAGGGATGGTTGTGTTGTGAGTTGGTGCACTTTGATCAGTGGGAATGAAAAGTTGGTTTCAGATGGGGATCAGAGTAAAGAGAGGAGAAGGATTCAGACAAGGGGACCTTGCCATTCACGTTAATAGATTGTGAATACTGAGAGCATGCCTTGTGGACACCATGTCATCATCCTGACACCGGGATCTTTGGGGCGGTGCCAGCAGGGAGGCATGCACTGCAGAAGGTGGAAAAGCAAAGCCATTTGAATAAATGTTTAACAGCCTTGCCTATTCAGGGAATAAAGAGCACTTGGTTTGTTCTGAGATGATGTAGTGTTTATCTTGTCATTAATATTACCTATTTAAAAACTAAACTGCTTCGGTGTACAGTATGTGCTTTTTTCACCGCCCTATGAAACCCCATATATACATATTTATATAACACTGGCAAGAAGCAGAAATATAATATTTTTTTTAGATTGACTTTTTTCTACTTTAGGACTTTAAATCTTTACCTTCTCTCTACACTCATTACCTACCAATACAATCCAGCAAGTCCTGCAGTGGACAGTTGCTCACACACACAAGCAGCTGAGAGCTAATGACACTATGTTAAACAGGTTATGAGGCTTGCCCAAGACTTTAAATAGCTCTTCTTTTATCAGCAATACACTGGAATTATAATTTCTCATAGTCTGAGGTACTTTCAAATCATATCTTTTATCTGTTTTATAACTTTGTCTTTCTCTTACAGCTCCCAAGTTGGTACTAGATCTCACTAAGTACTTTATCAGCACTAGTAGGGAAGAAAACATGTTCACAAGTGTCTATACTCTGAAGCAGAATGATGTTCTGTTTAAACTTCTGAAACAGGTTTAGACATCAGTATGCTCAGGACAATGCCATTACGCTATGCTGTATCCCTTTTGGTCTACAGCTCAGTACTGGACGGTGAACAAAGGATGTATGTGAGCTTATACCCATACTATGTATATCATCATTTAATACATGTTTTTACTTCTGCATTCACATAATGTGCTTTTAAAACAAAGTGTCTTGTATGAATATTGCTTCATATGACAAATGATCTTGAATAAAATAAAGAACACTCAACAGAAACACAAATATTAGCAAAAGAAAAAGGTAACAATTTACTTTAAGCCACCGTTAACTAAAGCACATTAAAGCGGTTCATACTTTATAACACAATGTAAATACATTTGAAGTGTTTATTAATAAAAAGTATTTTGCAGCAAACTGTAGTTCCTCAAAACATAATTCATCATTAGAGAGGAATTGTTCTGCTTGTAACTACTATAAACGATACATTGGGGGACTTTAATGGAAAATACCTACTGTATATTCATTACCACCAGACTACTATGGCATTGAAGAAAGCAAGATAAAATAAAAACCTCTATGACAAAAAAAGAGGTTACCTCTGTGATACCTAAAAAGAAAAATCTTTCGAGCCACAGTGGCATTATGACCTACTAAAATATGACATATAGAAGGAAATCACTCAGCAGGGGAGCACATGCACATTCTTTCAGAGAAAAGTGCAAGGACTTAAAATACAATTGAAAAGGATGTCAAAGGAATATAAAAATCAAAATAGGTGGCCAGAAAATATGCTGCACACAAGAACACCTTGATATGAGGAAAGCAGAGTCATCTCCAGAACTGAAAGTAGAAGTAGATTGCCTCAAAGGCACAACTCTAAGTGGAATATAAGATGACTGTAAGGCAATGTTTCTATCCTTGTTGTTCACTCCCAGATTACAGCTGTATAATGTCCTCTGTGTCTCTGGAGCAGATCTGTCATAACACAGGCCTGCAAGGGCTGGCCACAGTGACACACTATGAAGACAATGCGTTTTCCGTTTTAAAAAGGATCTTTCACTTTCGGTTGTGGTCTAAAACTATGGTCAATATTAAGGATAAACATATAGAGTCTTCTGAGATGAGTGTGTGCCTTCACCTCAACTAATTGTTAAAAACAGATGTCTGGAGTTACTGGCTATGGCTAAATAATAGCCAACATAATAAATCTAAAACATACCCTTTTATATAAATATGCCCAACCAGCCTCCCAGTAAGAGGCTGCATGTAATCTGTATCTCCCAAGGCTCATTTGTTTTAAATGTATACTGTTCCTATGCTGCCTGGTGCATACAGCTTGATATGTGGTTGTAATGAGCGACATGATGTGATACAGATTGGTCAGGTTCAGTTTTTAAGCTGCTAAGTGATAACAAATAAGAGGTAATCAGCCCATGCATGTTAAATATGTATGTTTTGTAGAAATGTTCTCATATCATGCTACAATTATATTATAAAGAGTTCAACATCTAACTAGACATTTTTCTTCAGCTGTCAGTTTTGTATTCTCGTAAATTAGTCATTTGTATGCATGCAATCCTGCTGAGAATATGAGTTCCATCCATAAGAGTAACAATGTAATGTTTTCTCCATCGGTTAAGACCTACTGAAAGTCTGATGCGTAAATATTTAACACACACATTCTGTTCACATTTCACTGACATCCAATATGTGTGAGCAAGTGAAAGTGTATGCAACATAATGTGCAAGTGTGGGTGGTGGCTTCTGTCAGTCTGAATGTGTCTACTTTGAAGGAACCGTCAAGATTAGTCAAAGTCTAATCTTGACGGTTCCATAAAGTGTATGTCCATATGCACAAACCATAAAGCATACTCACCAAGAAGAGCAGGCGGAAGTTGGCGAGCTGTCCGAAGAAATCCTCCACACTGACTGAATGGGGGTCAAAGGCCAAAAAACTGCCTATATTCTCGTAGAGCTTTTGCATGTTCTTGTGCATCGTTGACAGTTTTTCATACTGCTCCCTTGAATGCTTGGAGAAGCCGTGAGAAAACAGGGTTAAGGAAAAATGGAGTACAACATCAAACACAGACTGAGTATATTCAAAGGCACTGTAATCATCAATGTAATGACACCCCACCAATATGTTCATCCATGACAAAACAGGCCATTGTAAGAAATGATCACTTCAGAGGCTTTTGACTACAGCATTCAAAAGCCCACCTATGTCAAGGTCAACAAAACAAAACACTGGATAAAGAAGGGTCAGAGACAATTTAATGTGCCATTACAATAACCTCTCCAACTCACTTTGGAGTCAATGGCATGGTGAGCTAATAGCTGCAGCCCTGGAGTAATGGAAATGTGTTTTGTAGTCAGCAGCATGACACAGATGGTTGCTGGAAAAGCTGATTGCAGTCATTGTTCTATTGTTTCTCCCAACAACAGTGGGGTCAGGTTGTTTTGAACCTCACAGCTCACGTCGCACTGTGTAATTTACTGAACAGGCGAGCACTTTTCTCCTGGTGAATGGCTATTGACAGCCGACATCAGTTAAGCATTATCACAGCAGCCACTGACCTCATGGAGACTGCACTTGGACACTCTAAGACTACACAACTTTGCACAACATACACACATATATATATATATATATATATATTGTATATAAACTAACATATAAACACATGCCTGCACATGCTCACAAAGGCAGACAAAAAAAGAACTGCCATTATTTTAAACTGTGTGTGTGTTTTAAATAATATTAATGGTTATTCTTAAGTGTCTTTAGTTATTACATTTATATTTTCTATAAGAGCTCAAAGCTTATGACTATGATTTTTTAAATGTGTTTTTTTTTGTTTTATTTGTATAGGGCTAGGCATCTGTTCCATTGGTCACCAAACATGGTACTTAAAGGTGGGGTAGGTCATTTTGGAGAAACCAGCTCGAGTGCGCTAGAATTTGAAAATACACAACCGGAAAAAATCTGCCACTTCCTTACAGAGCCCCTCCCCAACACACACGGACGCGCACATGACCAATGAGGGCACGAGATAAGTGTGTGCACAGATGGAAGGCTGACAGGCAGGTAGGCCATCCAGTTATTTTAGCCGGGCCGGCTAAAATGATTGGTCGTGCTTTTTACAGTACTACGGCTTCCACAGATGACATGTTTGTATGAATGTTTTGTCAAAGCACTTCAGATATTCATTGCTATCGGGATGTTAAGAGCATTCCATGGAATATAACAAAAAGTGTATCTCGAGCCGGTTTCTCAAACTTACATACCCCACCTTTAAAGGTAAGTGCTGTGATCTCACAACGTGGCAACACTCCCTAAATAGGCCAACATGAATGAGCAGTCAGGTGATCAGAAATCATGTTGTGCCAGATTACTCTATTAGCTATTCCTCGTTGAACAGAACAAATGGTGAGCTTGCACCACTTTGTCAAAGTTGACATTCAATTTACCTTTGATAATCCTATGAGAGCGTTAACAACCTTTCTGATAAAATAGCCGATCATGGATGGATGGATGGACCTTTGGTTTTAGAGAGAATACTTCTATGTTTCCTGATGTAACAAGCTAATACATGTAATATTCTCAATAAAACCAAAACTTAATAGTTTAGCTTATGAGTCGATATCATCGTTTTTTAGACAGTTTGGGCACCATTTCATTTCACAGTAAATGTCCAAAAATCCTGAATATCCTATAATAATTGATATCTGTATTCAGTTTAAGTGTTGAGAAAAAAGGCTTTTAATACAGATATAAACATTGATTTTTGAAGGGTCCGTGTAGAGACAAGCATGATTCAATTGTGCATCTGAATGTGTTGCTAACATATTAAGGCAGCTGCCTCTTGCTCACAGCATCACAGGTACAAATAGACACAATAAGTGGCATATGCAGTCGCCTTGGCAACATACACAAGCTGGTGGTACAACATGACGCCTGTGATTGTGTGTCAAGGTTAAACAGTTATAAGATATTGTTATTTGTTAACAATATGCAATGATCATGTGAAGGTCCCAGATTTTTCTACAATGCCATTTATTCATAATTTCTGTCTGTCCTGTCGTCTTTGCATATGTCCATGTTCAGAGATGTTTCTTTAGGCACACGTGTAACTCACATTTCCCCCACATGAATACAGTCATATGTGCCTGTACAAATGTGATGTATTTGTGTTCTAAGGTAAGTGTGTATGGATGGATAGGCTTTGTGTAGCTGACAGAGAAAAAAGCCCTGACAGGGTCGGCTGGTTGGAATAACTCCCTGCGGGCTAGTGTTTACCAAAGTCCAGGTTAGCACCGAGCCCACACACCGGCCCGATGGATGGACTCATCCTTCTGTCTCTCTTCTTCCCTATCTCTATTTCCTTGTCTGCCTGGACCTGATGTATCCCCCCTGTTTCTGTCAGCTTGTCTTTATCTCTCCTTTTGTCCACCTCCCCCTCACTGCACTTGTGTGTGAAAACCCACAGGCCCTACGTTTGGATGTCAAATTAAACTTTGCCAAAGAAATATATCTTTTCAACATCCAAACTTCTGACAGAGTTGTAATGTATTTACGTTTTTTTGTTTGGTAACGTTTTGAAAAGGCCCCTTGGAGAGGAATAAATCCATTTCTAGGGACCAATCGGCCACAAACCAAACCATGTGATGATGACGACCCACATCTTATTTTTTGGTATAGTCATGCTCTGACCTGGAATGTTATTTTCTACAACTGTTATATGTTTTTGTATCTGAAATTCCCCATGACGTACTGCTACTGCTCTGCCCATAGACTTTTAAGTTCATTTGTCAATCTCTGTAAAGCTTTTTCTGGTTAAATAAAACACAATATATACTGTATATATTTGTGCTTCATCTAATAAAACAACCACAGCCAGTTCCAAGTACTAGACTATGCTTCACTTAACATGCCCCTTCTTAATTCCTAGTCGCTGTGAATGGAAGATTTCCTCAAAAGGAACATAAAATGAGAAAGCATAAATATGTATAGTGTTAATGAAAACAAAGATCAGCAACAGGTTCATGCCAGAGAGCGATCCAACCATTAATGTGTCAAATTAGCAGTAACAGTGATGTTGATATTGCATGGTGATTTGTATTCGATATTGATTCCTCTCAGCAGCAGAGTCCACACCGCCTTTAGTTTGTATGGTCGGGTCACAACTGCTGCCACCCTTGTAGGATTTAACGTAGGATAAACATTAGTAAAATATTGAGGCAGTGGTTCTTTTTTGGTGCTTGCTGTGGCTTTTTCTCTGCTCTCCCCCGCTTAGTCTCTTTCACACACACACGCTGAAATACACAGTGGTAGATGTGTCCCGCCGGGGACTGGACTGGGGGGGGGGGGGGGGGACTGGACTGACTGGGCTTTTGCTCCTTGTACCACATCAAAGACATGTCATATTGATGGAGCCTGACACACACTATCCTGCAGCAACACAACCGGAGCTGGAGCCTTCATCAAACACACATACTGACACAGGATGAACAGGCAACTCACACACACGCACACACACACACACACACACACACACACACACACACACACACACACACACACACACACACACACACACACACACCCCCACACACACACACACACACACACACACACACACACACACACACATTGTACTTTTAAAAAATGTACACAGTCACACACCCAATGTTGTAATGTCCCTCTGCCAGCTTGTCTGTTACTCTTTCCTTTCCCTTAGTTTCTAATAGCCATTATTGTCTCCTTCTCCAAAGATACATCTTTGTTCTATGTTTTTCTCCTTTCTTCCTGTCTACCACTCTTTTGAACACATTCCCTTTATAATTCTTTCTACACCTCCCCTTGAAATTCCCTCCATACCATTCTCTCTCTATAACAAAAACTTATTTTTATTTCTCTTCTACTCAGAGTGAACTTTCAGAGGTATGCTGTCTGAGGTGTCTCTGGTATTCACTTGGGCTTGAGGCAGAGCAGGGAGCAGAGGCGATGGGTCTCCAGGTAAAGCATCATGCAGCCTTTAGTTGCCCCGACCATGTTTGTCAGTCTGCGCTCTCCCCTTCTAGCTGTCCTCATATTGTACTGCCTGCCCTCCATGTGCACTGCACCTCAACAACCTGAAGCAAGACGATTGCTTGGGGGCTCCATCTTTTAAATATGGATACAACTAAAGATGTATGTGGATTCCTAACTGGTTTATTATGATATTGATTAGATTTGAACATTTAAAAAAGTATCTCTAAGCCTCATCCTTCTTAACTGTCTGTAAGCCAATGAATGACTGTTTAAAGACTATTTAAATAACTGAAGCTGGCACAGCTGGAGGATAAACAATTATAGTTCAAAAGAGGCTGATGGAATAACAGCAAGTCACTAAACATAACACACTCAGGGTAGACTTGCACAACTCCAGTTTCTGACAGCGTCTTATCTGACAGTGTTGATTTACAAAGACAATGTCAAATGTGATGGCAGTGCTCTGCTAGTTCATGTTTTTATAATTCTCCCTCTCTCAACTCTTCTGTTTCTCCTGTCTCCTATAAAACCCCAGCCTATCCTTGTAAAAATCTAGAATTAGTTCCTTGTCCTGCCACAGTGTCCTCATTACTGTCTTTAATCAGTCACTTTTTATCTGTGTGTTTGACATGCCAGAGAGGGTACATTTAACATCAGTAAGCTGCGATTAAGGGCACTCATTTTTAACACCACAAAGTGACATCAAAATCATATCCAAGTCAGACTTACCCCAGATGTAAAACAAAAAAAAGGTTTTTGGAGCTATTACATTTTGTAATAAAAGCTAACCGAGAAGAGGAAAAACTTGAGGTATGCCATTGACTCCAAAGTTAAAACAGTTTTCACAATGGCCACCTATGAGGATGGCAATAAATTACCTGGTTTGTTTACCTGTGTGCATGAGAGAGTTATTAAAGTGCTGCATAAAACCTTGCAGTGGGGGCCCAAAAAGCTTCCTCAATAAATCTCCTGTAACCTAGTTACATTAATGTTTATTTAATGCTTTT